GCGTGTTTGTTGTCGTTCACTGAATAGGCGAGTTCTAGATTATCATACCCCATTTGTGCTCATAGACTGGACTGTATTTCCAGGTTGTTGATGTCAGGGAAAGTCGGCGTGTAACCTTAGCTGTTGAGTGTGCGATGTCGGAGTTCTGCCCCTCAGGCTCAGCCAAAATTGACAATTTAGAGACAAGTGTAAATGAGAAGAAGATAGCTCCAGGCTCAATGACGTGGAAGCTCCAGTGGTTTTCCGACGAGAGTCCTTTCAAGTTTGTGGCATTGCTGAAGGCAATCCATGCAGGGATGACTGTTTCTCCTTTGCTTGTAAGATGTATATCATGAATGGAGCCTTTTCTTTAACCCCCACCTACGGTTTTGTTAGTTTTATATTCATTTCATTCTTTTGATTGTTTTTATTTCTCCCATTTAGTTTGTTTCCCTGCCAGCTGGTAAAATCTTGGGAAATTGGTGGCTTTGGCATCGGCTTGACTAAATATTGTAAAATGACAACTTTTTTTTAACCTTATAAATATGGCGGCTATAAATACCTTCTTATCCCCCCCCTATTACTCTTTTCACACTTAAATTTTCTCCCCTACCCAAATCCTTCCTCTTCATCTTCTGGTATGCTTCTTTTTCCCCTCTTTGAAAATATTTGTTCTTTAAAAAAAAAAAATTAATTAATTTGTTGGTTTGTTGGGCTGATTTACTGTTAACTTGAAACGGTTATGTTACAATTCTTGTCGGTTTTGATTATATTCTGAATTAATGAGTAATTCCCACCATCCATATTCTAATTATTTGCTTATTGTCATACAAAATATTGGGTGTTTAACATGAAGTGACTGAGCATCTTCAAGGGAGATGTTAAATACCAAACATCAAATTTAAATTTGATGGCACTTTACTTTTTTAAATGTTTATGTGGCACTTTACTTATCCAATTCTCCATTTATACCAAGGGTATATTTGTATTTTTGAATAAATTAAAAGTTAAATATATAAAATCAAAAGAAAAAATAATAAAAAAGAATTATAAAATTTACAATTAAAACGAAAAAAACCCACAAAGGAGTCAGATGCAGCCATGGCTGGTTTAGTAAGTACACTCTTTTCATATAGTTGACTATTGCCATATTTTTGTTTGAGTTCAAGTAATTTTCTTTTAGAACCAATTATCAGCATTGCAAGTTTGCAACCTTTACCGTAAAAAGCTCAAGTTTCCAAAACTTGAAACAAATTCATCAAGCAATAAATAATTTTTTGTTTGGTCAATTTGTTTGGCTGGTGAGATTACAGAGCTAAATGATGAAAATTTGGAAAGGGAGTCACCAACTCCAGTAATCTAGCAGCTGGAAACGCCATCAAAACTAGAGCATCTGTGACTTTTCAATTTAAATAAATAAAAATTTTAACATGCATTTCTTTTGTAACGTAATTTTAGACAATATTCATTATCTTCACCTTGTTTTAATTTTGGAGTCGTATATTATATTTTCATTATCTGCTTCTGTTTTTTTGCTACCGGTTCCATTTGTTAGCTTGTTATCTTCTTATAAAACTGAATTTTTAAAGACCCTAAATTATATATATTTGTTCTCCTTTCATATGCCAGGAGTACTTCAAGAAAGAAGCTGTGAAGCAATTCAAACAAGGGAGACTTTGAAAAAACACAAAGGAGAGAGAAATTTTGTAAAAGAAGCCAAAATGGACAAAATTGCCCTTATTTATTTTTGGATTTCCTAAGAAATCCTATACATTTGCATGTCTTTGATTTGAAAGTTGAGAGATTTTTCTGTCTTTTTTGAAAAAGTTTTGGCTTTTTTCAAAAGCGAAATTTTTTTTTTGACTTAAACCTAAATTTACTTTCAAAACAATCGCCAGGGTTTAATCATGAAATGGTTGAAGCTTTCGACAGCAGGTTCGAAATGTTTCGTGATTATGCGACGATGGTATCACCAAATTACATATGTTGGGTTTATTTTGTGGCACTTTGTTTCACTTGGTGTCATGTATTTTGAATGTTCAAACAGAAGGGTTAGGGAACATTTTGTAATCGATCCTCATTGTATTAATATTGCCTATTTATTTAATATATATTGCCATCGTATTGCTATTATATTGTCATCATATTACTCTTATATTGCCATCATATTGCTTGCGTAGTGCCCCCGTATTGCCTATTTTTTCAAGTATATATTGGAATAAAATTATAGGGTGAGTATGGAATTTTTGTATTGCCAATGTATAGCCCTCTATTGCCTTGGTATTGCTACGGTATTGCTCTGATTTTGAGCTTTCTATAGATTTTAATGCATAAAGGTTGAAAATTTATGCTAATCATGTGGCATTATTGTCTTCTTGATGCTCACCAGGTTTCTGTACTCATCCATGTCTAGTCCTGCAGGCTTATCCCTGTAAAATGCCCAAAGAATTAATTTGGGCATCACCTTAAGCAATTTAAGTCATGCAAGTTCTAGCCATTCTGGGTTAAGTCAACACGCATTGCTTGATTAATATTAGAGAGTGACAAACGAGAGAGCGCTGTCGATTTTGGGAGAGTTGGGCAAAAGTGCGAAATAGGTAATAGAGATTAGATAAGAAGGTATTTATAATAGATCAGAGGAAAGGAAATTGACATTTTGGTCATGTTCGTCTTACTTCCCATTGTTTCACCTTTTACCCCCTTCCATTTCTACATTGTGCTTGTTGTAAATTGTTTATGGTAACTTCAGCATGTCATTTGATTTGATAATAATCCATTTCCCATGAGTTTGAGCTTTACTGTGGAGATGCCTGAGATATCACATGGCATGCACCAGCTCAAATGCTTAGTTACGGCTTAGGCGTTTACATTCCTTACGAGTTATGGCCTGTATTCCTGACCGAGATGGAATGAAAATGTAAAGGGAACACACGAGAAAAAAGGAATCACATATAAACATGGGATTGTATGAATAAACGCAGTTAACAAAGAAGACCCCAAAACAAAAATGTATCATATTACCAATAAGAAAAATTACAAAAATTGTGTTGAGGAGACATTTTCGTTGTTCTACATCACAAACGACATAGAAAGTCTCCTACAGGCGTTAGGGGTCCTCAGGTGTTGAAAATATTATTTTCCTTCTTGGCTGCCAACATTCAACTTCATATCAGCAAAGCCTAATCTGGCAATCCAACCTGGAAATATTTCCAGTTGCCAATCAAAATACAAGGGTTGTTGCTGATGAGTTCGATGACAGTACACGCAAAATTAATTTGACAACTCAAAATTTTCGGACACCATATTCTTTCATACTATAGAGATAATTCAATACAACTCAAATCTCTTATGATGAAGTCTCTGCTGCTATCTCCGGCTCTTTTTGGGTCTTAATCTCTTGAAAGCCATGAATGTAACTGCTGCAGACAAGGAATACCTGCCCAAGATAAAGCAAGTATTAGAGATAGATTGCATCTAAGTCCTAATAATTCTCAAACAAAATGGAAACAAAACCCTTTGGCATCAAGGAATTTAAGGTATCACATAGCAGCATACATCATAAATGAAAAGATGATCAGTTGATCAATGCAAATATTAACACAGAGATACAAGAGTATACCATGTCAACGTATAATTTAGATGGTCCTGAGGCATGACTGAACTCCGAATCAAGGTACCAACATCCTTTGGAACTGGGTAAGGGTTACTCGGATTGACATTTTCATTTATGTCTTCGATGTAAACAGTATCCTCAGGGAGGCCGCAAGTACGAGCAATTGCAGGAACATCAACATAGAACCACTGGGAGGATTTTGGATCATTTGGTGGAACAAATATGCTAGGCTTCTCACTCCCCCGAACTACTCCAACAATTTCAACAGGAGCAAAAGCAGGGGTCTGCTGATCCTGTAAGTTAAACGAAATTAAGATTAGATCTTCAATGTTCTCCCATCCAAAAACTATTGATATAATGAAAACAAACAACCTCAACGACTTTAGGCTTCTTCGTCCAGAACCTCCACCAAGACCTTCTTTCATTCTCTTGAACAGAGGAGGGTGCTACATTAGAAGGTTGTTCACCATCTTCATGAACTTCTGAAGACTTTTCTTTCCAACTTCGGGGTACCCATCCTCTGTTGACTAAAATTGGTGGCTGCACACTGGAAATTTTTTATTTAAGATGATCATCAGATCAGCTAACAGATAAGCATTGCAATTTGCTTGAAAGTCACAATCACAAATAAAATTACTATCAAAACATGATATTATGTGAGGCGTAATGGAATCTTGAAGTTCTCTGTATAATGTTAGAACTTAGAACCCTATACATTCCAGTACAAAGAACTGTTTGTTTCCAACCAAGGATATACCCAACACCCTATTAAAGCCTCAGTTTGACATTGAAGCATCAGTTCATAAAAGATGCACCTTCACATTAAATCCATGCAACTGATTTATCATATTTTCTTTTACTCTTCAGTGCAAATACAATATTACTACTTCCCGTTTGAGCTGCTCAGTTTGAGCTGCTCAGTTGGTAATGATTACAGTCCACAAGAAATCTGGAAAATAATCAATGACACGTCTAATTAAGACAACACACACACAAGAGAAAACCAACGGATTAGAGCTTCTCAAGGGGTATCAATCCAATGTTTAACGAAAGCAGACTAATCGATAAATACTGGATTGCAACCCGACGTGCAGCTACTTGAAATGATTGAAACAGTTATTTTAATTTGAAATATGGGATCAACATAAGAGAAACTGTAACAATAAGCAAGAACAACTCATAAATGTCTCAATGTAATAAAATACCCTGTTTAATAGTCAAGGCCCTTTAAGCACTTAAAAGAGAGAAAAGCAGGTGATGTGATATGTAGCTGGTTCATTATATCAACATGGTTTGTGAAATCTATGAAACTCCAATAGCATTTACCGCTCAGGTTTGTCAGAGACCGGCACAAGAGGTGTGATGACATAGTAGCCATTTTCAGTGACTCCGGAAATGCTTCTTGAACGAGGACCCACATAGATTGACCTTTCCTCATCAAAATATCCTTTGCATATCACCCTCCTAAACTCCAAATGATCCAATTCTTCACTTGAAAGTGAGACATTGTTGAAGTTTACAGGTTCCATTTCCAACCTCTTCTGTCTGTAATCTAACATTTTTATCTGTAACAAAAGAGACTTGTTAATAGGGGTCATTCTTTGATGCAAATGTAAGGTTGAATATTAAGTGCACGTGGAATTCATTCTTGAGAGTGGCCACTAGATGCAGTATTAAACCTAATTCCATAACCAGATCCTAGATTCCACTTTTGTAGGACTAATTCCAGTTCATTACCAAATTTCTTTCCTCTATTGATGATGGTCGGCTTAAGTTTCAATGTCTGGCATCTTTGCCCAACAACATGTTAATACTGAACGTAATTGCTTCAAGCCATTTCTTAAGGTGTAAGCTCAAAAAGCTTAACTATCATAAATAAGCTCGTACACGAGGACAACTAAAATTGTTGAATTGTATTACTAAGATCAATCTCCAAGATTGCTAAATTTCATAGGAAGATAAAAACACCACCTTCTCTTGCCTTCTGAAGATCTGCCAAGTGCCAAGGCCAAAAGAGACAGCTCCAGGAAGAAACAGCAGCCATTTGGACCATCTCGACCTTTCCCTCTCTAAACAAAACAAAGAAAAGAACCGGAAAGCCTTAATAATAAATAAAGCATCAACATTTTGATCAAATTAAGACGGACCCAGAAGCAGAAAACATACAAAGAACACAGAGACCCACCTGGAGCTTGGGAAGAGAGCGTTGATTGAGACTCGGGTACTGAGGAAACAGCCGGCGAGGAGCTGAAGAAGGAAGGAGATAATGAGAGTGACGGTGGTGGTAGTGGGACCAAATGTTTGGAGAAAGAAGAAGGGGACCCACTACAATAAAGCTTAGTTATTGTTTTAGCAATGGAGGTTTTTGCTGCCATATTGATGAATCTGGCATTTGGTTGTTTTTGTTGCCTGTGATCGAGGAGGGCTTAAGCTTATATATGCCTGCCTATACCTGCTTCAAAGTTTCAAACTTTATGACTTTCGAGAATGAAATTCTAAGCGCGTGAGGTTGCAAAGTGGACACCTTTGTGGTTTAAAGGGGTCGAAACTTCAAACCCAATTGAAGCCCAAAAAAAGTAAATGCCCAAAAAGATTGTTTTAATGGCCCAACTCCAACGTCCAAACTAGGGTTCGAAGCAAGCCATACCATTACTACACCCCAAAAAATTCCTCTTTTTAAACCTTCATTTTCTTATAATCTCATCTTCCTCCTCCAAATGGTAGCTGTGATGAAGCAGTCTGTTGGCGATTGCATAATTCTCTCTCGTTTCTATAATCATATTTTGGATCCATTCACTGGTTTTGGTTTTCATTTTCGTTTTTGATATTCAATTTGAGTTCAATTAGAAGAAAAAAGGCAACTTGGGCGTCAATGACGCGTCTAGTCCTCTATATTTGAGGACTGATAACGCAGTCAGCCCTTTTCTTTGCCGAAACTTGTGAGCATCTATGCTTGCAGCTGTCGCTTCACCATTTGCGGCTTTTGCATTCAGACGCTCGTAGATTTTTCTAATATTTTGACATGAATTTCTGGGAATTCTAGTTCCAATTTTAAAGCAGGAACGTCGTTTTCATTTTAATTAGTTTGGTAATTATCAAATTTCACATTTTAGTTTAAACTGCTTTTATTGTTTTCTGCAGTAATATTGTTCTTGATTTTAAGTCAATACCAAGATGCCAGAATATGTGCAGTGCAGAGAAAAGAGACTAGTTTTCTTCACTTTGAAAGTTAATTGGAAATTACTTGGCCAAGTATTGGAAGTTTTTGTTTCTAAGAAATGCAGACTTGAGCCATCCAAAGAAATAAACCATTCAAACTTTGAAGCAACTAACCTAAGAAACTTTTTGTTTAGTCAGTCAAAAGGAATAGCATTGGCATTAGATTACAAGAATCATCAAACAGATAACAAGGCACAAGCTCTGTTGTTGGTGATTTGAAGCAATTCCCAAATTTTGAGTACAAGACAGATGATATAGCTCTTGACTGAATGACCAAAATGGCATTCCTAAAATGCTGTAAATGTAATGATTAAAGCCATGAAGAAGGCAGCAAAACCCGATCCGCAAAAGTGAGAGGGTGCATAAGCTGCACTCTTGGAACTGCTTGAGGAAGAACCTGACAGAAGAAAACAACCCATTTTCAGTGTCACGTATTGAGTTCAGCAGACACTAATCTGACTGTCAAGCTTAGAAAAGGCGGCATGTTTGATGTTTATGTCATGCATAACTGATCTGAAACCCAACTAGTTGAGTGTATTAAATGTTTAGCCATCACTTAATTATCGAAAATTAGGTAATAAAAGGTACTAGGAACTTACTATTGTTGGAAGCCGGTATAGCTGCTGGTGAAGTGCTTGATGATGCATCTGTGATGGAAAATAACAATCATGTATGAATCTTGAATTGTCTGTTAACAAACTGATTTCAAATATGCCACTAAATAGTACAAACATGAGTAAAAACAGATTTAGAAGACAAAACTCTTGGAGTCCTCTGTTTTTTACAGAACATATGTATTGGAAATTTATAAGCATGTACTTTTTGCTTTGGTTGCTTTTGTGCCAATAACACACATACAAATACCAGGAAATCGGGATAAGGGATGAAAATTTTAAATGGTATTGCTCCTATAGAAAGTTGCAAATATAATTGATGTCCAATTTTTCGACCTGATTTTACATATATGAGCGGCTATACATCCATACATGTATGGAAAAGCCCCTTTCCATGAATTTGGTCATTAACTACCTAATAAAGAAGACAACTTTTCAATAGAAAATCTGATTGTGATATCAGAGCTTCATATAAAAATTATTGCCTTCCTTTCCATGGAAACATTTGATCACACACAGAATCTAAATGATTTCGTTTCATTCTGAAAAGCGAAAAAAGAGAGGAAGAAAGCTCTATTACCCTTTTCGCATATTGAAATGTCAGCATTGGCACCACAAGCCTTGGGAAGCTTCAAGGCATCATCCTGGGTTATGTTAAGGTTGCTCAACATGCCAGGGTTGTTGAAGACGCTGCAGAGGCACTTGGTATCGTCGGAAACCATCTGCTTGAGTGGCGAGCAGCATGCTGCAGGGGCCTTCTCGGGTGCCTTCAAAAATGGTTGACAAGGAATCAGTTTCTGCACGCATTGCATTGAAGCACCACTGCCACCACCAGTACCCTCTTGATCTGATAATCCACTGAGCTTTCGGCCTTGCGAAAAACCCACAAAGCCCAGTAAAGAGAAAATGATCACAAACAGGAAGGAGAAGAAGCGCTTTGAAATTGAAGCCATGGTTTTGGTTCTGGTTTTCTTAGAGGAGGGCGGTTGTTTTTGGTGATTGTTTGCTTTGTTTGAGAGAGAAATCAAACAGAGAGTAGACAGAGGAACAAGGAGAGAGAGTTTGGGTTTGGTTGGTTCAATGGAATGGTTTGGTTTGTGTGGCGCTATCTTATACATTTATAATGAGTCAATGCAATTAGACAGCCGCTAATAACTTCTATTTCTAGAGTTGTTTTCAATTCCTTCTATCACTCCATTGAGCAACCGTTTCCATCGGCAGTTAGAGATTTTCTCTGATCCAGAGGAGATGTGTTTCCAAAAGATTGTTTTTTTTTTCCAATTTAATTTCCTTTTTCCATGGAAGTTTTATTTTTTTGGTGATATCCGTTGAGTTATCTTAAAGATTTTCTATGATAGTTACCGTAAAAAGTTCTTTTTTATATACTTATTTAATAAGAAAATCAAAATCAAATTTCATTTCACCTTTAACTAGTCTTGGATATCATGAAATGCATGCGGTTGTTGATATAAAATACTGAAAGAAGTGAAGTATGTACGTACAGAATTGCTCCTCCTCTGTAAGAGCACATCTATAATGTAATATGTGACCTGTTCAAAAGTTTAAGAAAAGCCAGATCATGGTCTTTTAATTCAGTTTAATAAACAATTGATTATTTTTGCCCTAAAAAACAAATTTTTGTTTTGGTGAAAACAAATAGCAAGTTTGTGAAAACATATTTGTGCATGTGTGTGAGCCCAACAAAAATTAGCTGGGTTAGGTTTACCCGTTAAAATTAGCTGCGATAGGTATATCCCGATAGATAATTCTCCAGAATAAGTCTATCCAGACAAATAATTCTCTGGAATAAGTCTATCCTAACAAAATGATTTGCCGAAATAGGTCTATTCTGACAAAACAATCGCAGGGATAGGTCTACCCTACAAAACAATCGCCGGACAGGTCTTTCCCAACAAATATTCGCCGGAATAGGTCTCACTTGGCTGATAACCCTGAATTTCCTTCCATAAGCTGTCACATAAAAAAGCGTCATGCAGGAAGGTCAAACAAATCGTTTTATCTTCTTCTCAAAACCTGTGATGTAGAGTATAACATGCATGCATCCCTTTGGTTTCATGTTACATGTAAATAAAATACTATTATCTCAGACTTTAATTCCACATGAAACCATTATCAGATTTTAGCATACTAATTACATATGTGAAATTAAAGTCAGAGATGAGTATTGGAGGAAATTGAAAATATATGCAATTGGGGATATTGGATTTACTTTTGTTTTTGAAACATTGTCAAATTGAGCGGCATAAATGTAGCTCATGTTCTATATACAAAAGAACTATATATATATATATATATATATATATAGAGAGAGAGAGAGAGAGAGAGAGAGAGAGAGTAGCTCAGTGTGCTTTGCAGATGGACGTCTGTTTATATTGCTTAGAAGAAGTCAAGTTTGGCACTCCATCTCTCTCTCTCTCTCAATATAGTGGTGTCATAATTCGGAATATTGGAAGGAAGTCCCAAGTTTGAATCATCACTCCCACACTCGATTAAAAAAAAAAGAAAAAAAGAGAGTTGAGTTCGGCACCCAATCGATATTGGCACGGCTCAAATACACCATGGAGTCGAGTCACTGATCGACACAAGGGTGAAGTTGAACCATGCCAATGCCGAGAGAGCATGTAATTCATCCCTGAAATTGGGATTTTACAGAAATTGGAAGTACTGCTACAGATACGTATGTCATGCATGAGCTTCATACTTCTCTATTATATCATGAGCTTCAAACTTGTCCTACTCTTGGGAGCCGAAACTGAAGAATACAAGGGAAAACTTTGGAAGATTGACACAGCACCCTCCAAGAAAATGGAGCATCTCTCATTCTCTAGAGTGCCGGCAAGTTCAAGAATATAATTAAAAAAACACACACCTGGTTGATTTAAGGTCTTCCCTATATACAGACTGCTATTCACCTTGCATGTTTCCAGTTAAAGATACCAAATTTTTTTAACCTTTTCCGGACATCCCCTAACTTTGGAGCCATTGCCAACAGAAATCATTTGCTGTCAACATGCATATTTGTTGTTCATTAAATTGAGTTAAAAATTTGTCTTGATGTTTTTTTTAATTATATAGTTTTCTTTGTTGTTCTAAGAAAATCCACCAAGTAAAAGCTAAGAGACAGCATTCATAGTACACACACCAATTGCACCAAACAAGAATATTGGTTTCTAGTTCACATAGGTATATAAATTCCATGTAGACAGTAACTTGCTCCCCTCTTTAGCCCGTAAAACAATAATCACAGGATCAGCAATCAGCCACAGTAGCACTAGGTGGAGAAAAAGAAGAATATATTGCCACTAATTACCATCTGTTTCTAGCCATGGTGCAGGCAGGGTCAGGAGGAATAACATAACCCTGCTGCCGCACCAAGCCCTGACTGCAGGCTAGAATATCTAGAAGAATGATCCCTAAGAATATTTCATACAATAAAAAGGTTGAAGTTGGATTAGTGAGTTTGGAAGGATCTTCAGAAGTGTTCAAGTTTACTTTAGAATGGCAATGACAGGTTTAGGAAACATTCTGTCATGAGGTTTTTTCACACTCTAAAATAAGGGGTTCAACCACCAGCAGAAGAGGAAGTTGTCTCTTTTTTGGTCGAATAAGAGGAAGTTGTCTCTTGTGCACAAAGAAACGAAAACAGAACACCATCCGGAAATAACAAAGCTGGTTACTGACAAACCCAAAGGAGAGTGAGAGAGACGGGCTCAGTAAAAGTTTCTCATAAGTCTTGCCGTCTGATTGCTCATTCTCCTTCCTCTTGTCCACAAACACTCACAACCTTCCAAGACTAAAATTACTTTGAGTTTTACCGTCACCTTTTGTCCACATTTCACACGGCCTCTCCTTCTTTTATACCATTTTTTAGTTCAATCCTCAGGTCTTAAAAATTTCTTGAGGCCTAAGCCAAAAAGGAGGGCAAAAGTTGCTCCACCTGAGCATCATCACAATGGCAAAGTTTGGCAGGCCAAACACTAACAGGAGCCTTGAGAGTCTACTGGACATGGACAAATCAGTTGCTACAAAAATTTCTGTGCCACTTAGACCCTCGAAGATGATTCCCGGCCATGGCCTTGAATTCAATAACCTTTCATACAGTGTAACAAAGAAGCTGAAAAAAGATGGGGTTTGGATCAAGAAAGAAGCTTATCTTCTAAATGACATCTCTGGCCAGGCAGTGAGAGGTGAGATCATGGCCATCATGGGACCTAGTGGTGCTGGGAAATCTACATTTCTCGATGCCTTGGCGGGACGGATTGCTCAAGGGAGTTTGGAAGGCTCTGTTAGAATTGATGGAAGAACGGTTAGTAATCTATATCCAATATGATCCTTTTTCTCTCTTTTCAGAAACAAATGGAAACAAGATTACATATATAAAGTTGATTAATAATTTTCAGGTTACAACAAGCTACATGAAGATGGTGTCCTCTTATGTGATGCAAGATGACCAGCTCTTCCCTATGTTGACTGTGTTTGAGACCTTCATGTTCGCAGCTGAGATTAGGCTTCCTCCCTCCATTTCCAGGGATGAAAAGAGAAGAAGAGTTTATGCGCTCCTTGAACAACTGGGCTTGCAGGTAATTCAAATCCCGTTTCTCAATGCTTATGCATGGAATTCATTGCACAAATTAGATCAAACATACATGAATTTATACAACAGAAACCGCGCACATATATATATATATATAATGATTTTGATGATGTATATATGCAGAGTGCAACACATACTTACATCGGTGATGAGGGGAGGAGAGGAGTGTCGGGAGGAGAAAGACGAAGGGTGTCAATTGGCATTGACATCATCCACAAACCTGCACTGCTGTTTCTTGATGAACCGACTTCTGGTCTTGACTCCACAAGCGCTTACAGTGTCGTGGAAAAGGTCAAGGAGATAGCTCGAGGTGGTAGCATCGTGCTCATGACCATCCACCAACCTTCATATCGTATTCAAATGCTCTTAGACCGCATGACAATCCTAGCAAGGTACAAACTAATAATAACAAATATATGTGCATGGTGCAACACCCTCTTCGTCTACACTGACTAGAATGTTGCTGAAATTAATCTGCATTATATTCCAAAACTAAAATTAATCAAAGACGAATATATATATATATATATATATGTATGTATAAAGCTTAAGGGCTGCAAACGTACATGATGCTTATTAATTAATTTATCTAATGTCATGTGGTTGCAGAGGGAGACTGATATATTTGGGAAGTCCACATGGTTTGTCTTCCCATCTTTCTGGATTTGGAAGGCCAGTTCCGGATGGTGAGAATGGCCTTGAGTATCTCCTGGATGTGATTAAAGAATATGATGAATCAACTGTGGGACTAGACCCATTGGTCATGTACCAACGCGATGGCATCAAACCTGATCAGGTGGCCAGAACCCCGGTTGCAAAAACACCAAAGACACCAACTCCTTATAGAAAGACCCCTGCATCCAAGCACTCAATTAACCTCCGTAGTAAAGCCTTTTCCTTGGGAAATAGGACACCATCTGGAGCGGGTGAATCTGGTCAGTTTGATTACGAGGATGAGGATGAGAATTTTGACAACTCCCTGGAAAGGAAATCAGTTCATCAAACACCAATGCACCTGCAGAGCAGTGGTGTCTATAACCCTCGTCTAGCTTCACAGTTCTACAAGGACTTCTCTGTCTGGATTTACCATGGTGTCAAACGAACCCCTCGTCGCCCGCCATCATGGACTCCTGCTAGAACTCCAGGAAGGACCCCTGGAAAGACACCCCTCTCAGGTATTAGAAGCCAAGTTTCAAGCCAATATCCCACACCTCAGTTCAACCCGCCACCACCACGACACAGTAGTACTAAAACCCCTGTGGTCTTCAGCTCTTCCACTGAAGACTCATATGCACCTTATTATGAAGAGTTTGAAATAGAAGAAGAGCTTGATGAGCCAGACCATGGGCCTAAGTTTGCAAACCCATGGCTGCGTGAGGTTGCAGTCCTCTCATGGCGCACAGCGCTCAATGTGATTCGCACTCCTGAACTCTTCCTCTCTCGTGAGATTGTGTTGGCAGTTATGGCACTCATTCTGTCTTCCCTTTTCAAGAACCTGAGCCATGATTCGTTCAAAGACATAAACAGGCTTCTCAACTTTTACATCTTTGCAGTTTGCCTGGTTTTCTTTTCATCCAATGATGCTGTCCCAACTTTCATCCAAGAAAGGTTCATTTTCATCAGGGAATCTTCTCACAATGCTTATCGTGCCTCTTCGTACGTCATCTCTTCCCTCATTGTTTATCTCCCATTCTTTGCCATACAAGGCTTCACATTTGCTGCCATTACCAAATACATGCTTCACCTCAACAGCAACCTTTTCAGATTCTGGATCATCCTTTATGCCTCACTCATCACCACCAATGCTTATGTGATGCTTGTGAGCGCTCTGGTACCAAGTTACATCACAGGTTATGCTGTTGTGATAGCTACCACAGCTCTTTTCTTTCTGACTTGTGGCTTTTTCTTAAAGAGTCAGCAGATACCGATTTACTGGAGGTGGGTGCATTACATATCTGCAATTAAGTACCCATTTGAGGCATTGCTGACAAATGAATTCGGAGGAATGCGCTGCTACCACGGTGTGCCATCGGATCTTACCCCTGGACCTCTAGGAGAATTGAAGATTAGCTCCCTGCACAGTACCTCCCAAAAAGTGGAAAAGAATTGCGTGATTATTGGACAAGATGTTATATCATCCATGGATATCACTATAGACAACATTTGGTATGATATTGCAATCTTGCTAGCTTGGGGTGTTCTTTACCGGTTCTTATTCTATGTGGTCCTCAGATTCTATTCCAAGAATGAGAGGAAATGAAATCCGTTTGCATCACCTTGCCCTCTCTGCTTTGAGATTAATTCCCGGGGATGATAGCCGGTACTTAATTCATAGATCAGGCAAGCAAGCCAGATCATGAAAGCAAGCTATGTTTCAACATTTTTTGTTTAGAAGACTGTCATAAATAATAATCATAATAAAAGCTTACATTCCCATTTTTTGTCATGTTGGATCATATTCACACAGAGAAGCAGAGGAAAACGACTTGCCAGTGCCAGAAAGCTGATGGTGCTCAGAAGGTATAGTTTTATGTAACAGGAAAAGCACGATCATTTCAGATTGGCATTTAACCCATGGACACCATTAGGATGAAAAAAGATTAAAAAACAGAATTCAACTAGGCAAGAAAGTAGAATTTTATTTCTAGTTAACATATACAATTTATGACTTGTGACTGTCGGTCACTTTATAGGAATAGAACAATCTTCTCAGATGGACATATCTTCCAACTTATGACTTAAAAAAGTACCACTACAGGATTAGCTCAAGTTGAGCCTGCATGTTGTGCAATCTTCCTTTCTAGTGCAGTTTTGTCTGCCCCCACCATCTTGTCAACCTCCTTACCATTTCTTACAAAGAAAAATGCCGGAACGCTGCTTATATTCCAGTTTGCAGCAACATCTCCAGCCTCATCTATGTCAACTTTCAAGAAAACGGCCTTTGGGTACTTTCCAGCTAAGCTTGTATACAAAGGAGATATGAAACGGCAAGGACCACACCATGTTGCGGTGAAGTAGAGGATTGCAAGCCGCAATGTCCTTGAAGCAGCATTCAACTTTGTCTCCAGTTCTTTGGCTGAGTGTATACCAATGACTTCACCTGTGAAAACAAAACAAAAAAAAGCATTCAAAGAATGCCACAGTGGGACTTAGAACACCACTGACGTGGCGTGACAAGATTTTATATCCAAGTCCTCTTCATGAAATGGAATGTAGTCATTTACAGTTCACCATATTCGAATATGAAAATCATTCTGTAAATAATCATAGGAAAGTGGAATATATGTACCATATAATACGCTCCTCAATGTTCAAACAAGTAAGGAAAATTGGATAAACCAGATGAGTTAAGATAGGATCAAAATTAAATAAATGATATCTTGAACAAGAGGGATGGTTTTATGAAGTTGACATTGATAACGGCAGGTAATTCTGAAATGAGGGATGATGACCCATAAGGATGCATGCATTAATATAAAATTAATGAAATATGAATAAAAAGAAAGCAAATGCCATACCATCCTTAAGAGCAGACAACGCATCCCGTTCCTGCATGAAATTGAAAGAAATGTAGTTTAGTATGAAGGTTCTCTACCCTTATGTCATCATCGTAGATATCCATCTCTTGTATGAGGTCACTATTTAGTGGCATGTGGAATTAGGGGAAAATGACCCCCACCCACCAGCACCCCAAAGAGCAAACGTAAATGAATGAATAAACTAATCCAGCCCACATCTTTTGGATCTAGGCCTGTGCTGTGGTTTCATAATATAGTAATGCTCACTGATAACCACACCCATGAATTACACCCAGGTCCATGTTAGGACTGAACAAACCATGCTTTAAATTTTAACTGAACTAGCACCCAGGTAAAACATGTACTCCCACATAGAAAGATGAAAAGCACCAGTTACCAAAATCTTATTTTCAACAGGTTGCTCATTCTGCTACCCTATCATATGTAGACTGATATACTTATTTGACTATCAAAGAGATGTGATATTTCTTAATGGAGCATAAAAATATATCAACTCTAGTCCAATACTCACTCGAGCTTCGGCTTGCCGCTTTCTCTCACGTTCAGCACTTTTCATCTCCCTTTCTTTATGTAAGCGTTCATATTTTCTGCGATGCTCCTCAATTTTGCGGACATTAGGTTCAACCTGCAATTATAACTAAATTATTATGGAACAGTTTCCCTGGAAACTTATCCTTCTAGGATAAGGGAATTCACCTTTTTAAGCACCAAACCAATCTCCTCATCATAATCTAACTTTGATGCTACATGAAGATCACTTGCCGCTTCTTCCCAGTGACCTAACATGGCCTTTGCCATTCCTCTTATTTTATATCCTTTTGCAGAGTCGGGGTTGATCTAGAAAAAGTATAAATATAGCCCATTATACAATGTTCAATATGAAATTCAAACTTCTTGTACAGTGAGGGTCATCAACCAACCTCTAAAGCTGCATTAGCGTCACGAATTGCTGCATTTGGTTTATTCAATTTGACAAAGACACTAGCTGCAAGGATACAAGGTTTCCAAGAGAATGATACATATGAGCAAAGAAGGGTAATGAAAATAATATATCTATATATATGTAAGCACAACGAAATAAAGATAAATCAATAATGATCAAATAAAACTTCTCTTTTTCAAAAGAAAAAAATAATGATCAATTTACCTCTGGTTGCTTTTAATATTGCAGAAGTTGGATTCAACATGATGGCTTCTGTTATATGATCTATGGCTTCATCCAGCTTACCTGAAAAGAATTTACTACCAATTAAGAGATATCACAAAGACAACCCAAGAAATCTAAACTAAAATGGCAATCACAACAAAAAGGTGGCATGCCTTTAGAGATGGCATCTAAAGCTTTTGATTTTTCTATCTGTGCAGCATCCTGCATTTCTTCTGTAACTTCAACCAATGGGTTTCCTATCTGCACTTGAAAAATAGCGAGGTTACAAATTAAGGGGAAAAAGTCAGGGTGAAATACTAGGCCTCTATCGCATGACTCCATCTTTCTCTATCCCTTACCTTCTGTGGAGGATCATTATCAGGCTCCACAACATCAGTAGCATCCAACTCGATATCAGACTCAACAATTTCCTCATCATTATCAAGGGATAGATCAGGTCTTTTGGCATCAAAATGATCTTTAGTGTCTGACATGTCCTCATCAACTTCCTGTTATCAGAAACCAACACTACACCATATCAATCAAAATATACAACCACATCAACATAAAACATAAAAAGAATAAAAACCTGTGCTCAAAATTTTAAGGAATTTCTTCAAAGTAGCACTACGAGTGACCGTGTCTATTTTCTTGCCGGTTCTGATACATAAAATAGGATGTCAAATTTTCTAAAACCAACACCAACATAAGGGGGGAATCCGAAATTCCTGTCACTTGTAAAACCTACTGAAAGTTGAAATACAAATAATCCAAAGTTCCTATACGAATCTAAAATGTGGGGAAGTTGGCAATCTTAGAAGCACAGCATCCGCAGAAAAGCTTAAATTATGTGAGTCCATTAACTCCTAATATGCATGTAAAGCATAAATTATATGTCCACACATAGAAAAAACTGAAATTGGTAGAAAAATATAAGCTTAGTGTGAGGAAATGAGGGCTCACCATTTTTGGGATCGGCGGAATTCGAGCGCCAAGGCTGCAAAAAAAAAAACAAACAAACAAACCCACATGCCTCAAACAAAGGAAAACATTTCAATCATATACAATTTGACACACAGAGCATATATGCATATGCGTATAACAAAGTATCCTGTGACGGATGAAGATAAACAAAACAAGTATGTACCTTTGAAGATAGGACTTGAAGAAGGCAAGAGAAGGGGTATGGATCAGTGAAGGGTTTGACTTGCACTTACTAACGAACTCCCTCAGTTCTGCTACCTTTGCAGCATCCATCTCTCTCTCTCTCTCTCTCTCTCTCTCTCTCTCTAGAAATTGGAATCACTTTCTTAGAAAAGCCGACAGCGCTTGAAGAGTGTAGAACGAACTTTTGAAATTGGGATGGATTATGCCGTTAATTAAACCCTCCAATTTTTATAGCGTTTCTGGGCTTTGTCAATTGGGTCGCGTCTCATGTCATCACACGAGCAGCCCTGATGGACGGACCTGCGTAAAGTTTGATTCCTTGACTTCTGGGCTTTGTCTTTTTGGCGCTAATTATCATCCCCGCCTCATTCATCTCTAAGAGCACTTCCACCCACAAGAGTTAAGTCTAAAGCAAGGGCAAGCAAGGGCTGCCACTATTCACGAGAATAGTGTCAGCCTTTGCATTTGTGGTTCCACCCATGAGAGCTAAGTCTAGGGCAAGTCTAAGACAAATACTATTCATATGAGATATGAAGAGATGAATTTGTATATAGTTTTTGGTGTGGGAAGTAAAGAATATGCCTAGGTATTTATTTAAAAAAATTCTGGAATTTTTGGTATTTTTTTTCCTTTTTTTTCATTTTTTTTGGGTTGCTGACGTCAGCATTGCATCAGTTTGCCCTGGCAGCAACTCAGGCTGAATTTGCCCGTGGACTTGCCTGAGCTCGTGGGACCCAGCTCTTGCCAGGTCTGGCCCTTGCGTGCTGGAGCTGCTTCCTTCCCCCCTGGGTTGCCTTTTGCCCGGTTTTGAAGCAAGGGTGGACTTGCTCTAAGCATTATTGGAAATCAAAGTCAGATATAGGATAAATACTCGTAACCAATTAAGTTGTAAACTCATTGTCTTTGTTAATTTGTACCTAAAACGAATGTTGTTCATGTATCAGTCCAAAAATTTGATGGCTGACGTGCAGCACTCTAGGAGACAGCGCCTATATAAATTTTAGAGATTATAGATGTCAAAATTATTGAACTTATATTTTGCAACATGAAACTCTGCTTGAAACGATCAAACCCAAGTCTCCAATCATAAGAGCAAATGGAATTCCACGGTCTGCATTGCAGATGCACAACTTAAGCAAAATAATATTGAGTTCCCTTTCATTAATGTCAATTGGTACAACATATCAATACAAAAACATGATCATCAGAATTGTGCTTCCGATGTAAAAACAATCATTTTTACAACACTTGAACCATATTTATATATATCTATCTATCATATTTGTCTAAATCTTCAGGTCAAAAAATTTATCTTACAACTACAAGCACAAGAAGTAATTGTCAAATAATGATCAGTGCCAACATCGCTGAAGGACAGTTGGAAACTTCGTTATTTCTTCCCTTCGGCTACAGCCACCCACCGTAAGGAGCTAATTTATAGCTTGAGGAGGGCAAGAACCAGAAGAGTTGAAAGAGAAACTCAGACCATCCGATCCAGGTGTGCTGCACTCTGGAGATTTTTTGCTGACATTGTATGGCAATGTGGTCATCATCCTACATGCACACAAAAAATCAATAAGCAAAGCATTAATGATGTTATAAATTTCTCAGCATCTGTGTATGTCAATATAAGCATAAAGACTGGAGGGAGAAATAACCCTTCAAAGTTACCTCTCCTTGCGCTTCTCAAAGAATCTAGCCAAGGATGCTTTGCGTGCTTGAGGCACTGGTACTGCAAGCAAACACAGGAATAGATTTTTATTCAAGCTGCTATTTTACAAATTCAATGAGAAAAAAGAACAAAAGGTGCATATATATCCCCCATATAACAGTAGCAGTAGCATACATAACAGAAAATACGCAAAGCTATACCTGCTGGAATCAGGTTCGTCATAGCAGATCCCACTGAACTGACTACTACTTTAGAAGCCTCTGAGTGGTCAATAGGAGATGCTGAAGTTCCTACAGGTTTCACTATAGCTAATTCATTGGTGCTGCTAAATGCTCCTCCAGAGTGAGAACTAGCATGTGACGTCACGGAAAGATGGCTTGGAAGCCCAGAGATTGTAGATGTAATATGGGCCTGGTTCCTGAAAACACCATCGCCTGGGGAAGGTCTAGGGATGGGTGCCGGAACTTGAGCTATGGTAGGTGCCTTACAGTGAGTTGGAGAAGGTCCATTTCCAGCCAGCAACATAATAGCCTGGGCCTAAGTAGAGAAACAAAGAAATCATAAACAAAAAGTTCAACCTAAAATCTAATGTAGTGAACAGACGAATAAATGTAAGATACCTTCTCAGGAGATATATCATCATAAACATTCACAGAACCAGCATAAAAGATGGTTAATTGAGCAGGTGCCCCAGAAGATTTGGATGCATTCCTACATTAGAAACTCAACTTAGCCTCTAGGATTCTTCAACCATACTTGTGATTCAATACATGTTGCGCAATTTCATTCGCTAAAAAGCAGTTATACTATGAAAATGGTCTATTTTAAAGTACCTGAGATCAGCGGTACCAACTAGGGAACTTTTAGAAGGAAGAAGAGAAACAGGGGCCACAACTGGAACTCCTCCAAGTGGTTGCAGTTTTGTGGTAGAACCAGCCATGTTCTGCCCAACAGGAGGATGGGATTGGAGAAGAGGAGTGCTAAAAGCAATTGGAATCCTTTGGTCTTGAGAGTGATGCACTGAATGTGCATCATACTGCTGCACAGGAGAGACTGTCATTGCATAATGGTTTCCAGCTTGCTTATCAAGAGTGAAATTTTTCTACAAAATAAAAAAAAATGTGCAAAAGATGTAGGCAAATCAAGGTCATACAGAACCAAAACATATGCACTAAAAAGGAGCCTACATCAAAACAATTTTAAATCAAAAAAAGGATTCAAATTTCACTTGTATTTCTCCAGTAAAACAGATAAGTAAGAATACTTTTCTCAAGTCCAAAATACTCAGACCAAGTTACGGATAATTTCAGATAATTTCACCTTCTTTGAGAATAAAGCTTTGTTAGTAAGATTTAAAAGGAAAAGAGATTCTGAAAGTAAGAGAAGAAATACCTGGATAACACCAGAGAATGGCTTCTGGCTGAAGTGAAAAGCATCAGCAGTTGATATAGTCATAAATGCAGATGTATCATGAACAGTTTTTCTTGACCCGCCTTCTTGGGGAGCCTTGAAAGACAGGAATTGTGGAAGTGCAGAAACCTTGTTTGAAAATGACCACTGCATCCCTGAACTTCTTGGTAGCGCTGCAAAATCAATAAGAGTGGATCATCAGACCAAGTTGTTTGAACTTTGAACAAACAATTTCTTCATTGTGTTGATGATTGCTCAAAGTACCTCAGAAATAAAACAGTAATATGGTAAGTTTTAGGTAAAATGGCTCTGCAAATAGATGCCAACAAGAAACATATTTTTCTTGGAATGTAGTTATAGTAAATATATATATTCTCAACATGTACGTATGTTCATTACAGCTGTCAAACTAAGATGAATATATATATACATTTAGGCATTAACACATAGAATCTTTAATAAAGAAATCACTATAAACGACAATATGAATACAGCCATATCTAAAATGCACATTGTCAACTTACGTTATTTTCTAAATAGATGAAGAAGAGAGAAATGACAACCAATGACCTTAAAGAAGTAGAAAAATCCCTGAACATTTAAAATCCTAGCTTCAGAACATTTGTGCTGCACGCTTGTGTTGTGATAAGAAAGAAGCCATACACTGTAAGGTATTATGATGAGTCTACATTTTTTTATATCAGGTATTTGATTATAAATGTTGGTAGCATCTGGCCAGGCAGTAACTAACTATGCACCAAAGCAGATTTGAGAACAATATAAAATTCAGAACTCCACAAGTCCATGTTATAAAATAATAATAATAAAAAAGAATTGTTCAATTAGATTGCTTTATTAAATTCGGCTACTATAATATAAATATTTCTCATTGCATAAGTTTTTTTAATTATAAATGTTGTACCACCTGCCTAGCCTTGTTTAATATGTGAGCCAACGTGACACATTGCTCCTTTAATACATGACATCTCATATAGTCATAGAGTCTTAGAGTCATTGAGTCATAGGCATGTGAGGTAAAAAATACATTATCTTGCCTAACCCAACAATCTAAAATGTGGAGAAAATATTTGAACATAAATTTTTTTATTAAAAAAACTAAAAACAAAAGGCACATTGTATTGTAGTATGTTACCAAAAAATAGTGTAAAATTAAAGACAACTAAACCCCATGTTATGTTCCTATGAATACAGTATAACTCCACAAGTCAACACAGTTACACAGCAATCAGCTGCCCCAATTTACCCTTTATGTATAAATCTACCATAAACTGATAAAAAAAACACTGTTATTCCTTTAAATCAGTGTTTATCCTTACTTAGCAAGATGATGTTTTTTATTTTTATCAGGATCAGGAAAGTTGGGGGGATAAGAAAACAAAATAAAACTCAAAATTCCAATTCCAAAACAGTGAATTTCATCCTCAAAACCAATAAAAGCAAACCTGAATTCTTGGCTTCTTCATTGGCCTCCTCTTTCACAGTCAGGTTGCCATTCTTCGAACTCAAACCCAAAAAATCCCTCTCCATTAATTCCAATCTTTTAGCTAAATTACACGCCAACAACAAGAAATAAACTTCCAAACCCTTGAAGCCCAACCGCCGCAAAAGGAAGAGCTCTTTTCGTTGAATCTCAGAAACCAACAAGAACGAAAACCTTAACTTCCAATACTAGAAAGCTGCTGCTTTTTCTCTAGGGAGATGAGAGCATAGAGCAAGTAAAGAAGAGAAGCACATATGACATGGCTGGCTGAGGGCTCTTAAATGACAACTTCCAGTAGCTCTGACCTCTCTCTGTCTTTCCTAGTCCGTCGGATTGTAAAGATCGTCTTTTTGTGCGGGGTGGTGACCGGCTAGTCCGGTCGGAGACCGAGAGTTGCCACTTGTAGACCACGTGCGGCGCCGAACTTGGGCCTTTGATGCCTCGCAGCTGGTTTAGGATTGACGAGTGACGCTGTGCGCGACACGTGCCATGAAGTTTTAATTTCTTTTGTTTTTTATAAAATTTAATATTTTTCTGTCTTTTTAAATGACATTGGGTGGGCTGCCCGTGAGATGTGGCCATGTGGGTGAGCTTCAGGAGAAAAAAAAAAACTTACCTGAATAGCATTATTTTACTATCTCGGACTAATAACACAATGACATGTGAAAAAATTATTACATATATCATTGCTTTATTGGTTGGGATAGCAAAAAGTGGTATGTCTGTTATACGAGAGTTTCTCTCCTGAAGAGGATAAAGAGGGAAATGACGTTT